TTAGATGCAGTATTCCAAGTGTGGCCTTACCAAGGCATTGTAAAGTGGTATTAATACTTCACGAATTATAGTAGATAAGACCATGCTAGAAAAGGATGAAATTTAATCCAGAAGGTGATTTTCCCATTTTAATGGATTTTCAACTTTAAAATGCATTTAAAATCGAAGCACTGGATTTAACAACAAATTGCCCTGAGTGAATTCAGTGGCAGTTAAGAAGCTTCGGATGGATCTATAGCATGCAGGTTGTGAGTTACCCATAAAAGAACAAAATAAGAATAGATCAGAGGGTTGTCTATACAGAGCAAGAACCAGATGGATCCTTTACAGAGGTATGTGTTTACATCCCTGATAATTTGATTGTGCTATTTTTTCAGCTGATGTCTATGAATCTCCAACAGAGCCACAGGAGACCCCCACGGGTGACAAAGATCAGGAAAGTCAGCCAGGTAAAAACAGACATTAATTCCCTGTTTCTCAGACCTCTTGCTATCTTTAAATCATGTTGTCAAGACCACAAAGTGGATTAAGGAAGATATTTCTTCACTCCTCTTGCAAAGAAACTTCTTAACCTGTCCTCTAAGCTACCCGGAGACTGGTATATGCCTAAAGCAGGGGTGGGCAACCTTGGCTCTTTTATGACTCGTGGACTTCAACTCCCAGAATTCCTGAGCCAGCCATGCTGAGGGGAAAGGGAGAGGTTTCCAAGCTGAGCCATGCTGGCTCAGGAATTCTGGGAGTTGAAGTCCACGAGTCATAAAAGAGCCATGGTTGCCTACCCCTGGCCTAAGGGAACTCCTGAATCCCACCATCAGATTAGATCCATTTTTCTTAGCTATCCTAGAAAATTCTTCGTAGATGCATTCCTTGTTCTACATCTGGCCAAATCTTTATTATAAATTTCCTTACAGAGTGGAATGTAACTGCTGTCATCTGTGCAAAAAGCCAGCATGCTGGAAACAGGATTTCAAAAGAATTTGAGGGCCAGCCAGAACTATCTGCTATAGTCAGTGTGATGCATGGAGTAAAAATGGCTGTTACTTTACTGAAGCAGGGCTGGTGTGAGAGAAAAAATTGTGATTCCTATTTTCCTTTCCTGCACTTTTGTGCTCTATCACTTTGGGGAGAAGTTAAGCCTTCTTTATTCAACTTGCTGTTGAAGTGTCTTGGCAAGTTGTAGTCAAAACATTAGCAGAGTTTTTGAAAGCGCAAAAAATATAAGACCTCCATTGTCTTACTGCATGGAAGACCACTGTCAAGAGCGAAAATTTGGCAGCTACATGGCTCTCTGTTTTCATCTTGCTATTAGAATAAACGGGGGGGGGGGAGGTGTTTTCGAATGGGTTAGTTAGAAAAACGAAACCTTTCCAGTTCTATGGAAGCTGGCTGAAAGTCGGCAGTATGGAAACTTTTCAAGGACATTCTAGCAGGTGTGAAGAAGATAGCTGATGGATCTCATAACAAATAGAACATATTTACATGAGCTACGTGGGCATCTTGAGTGGGGGGTGTTAGCTGGGAAAATCATTGTTATATGCTATAGTCTGATGCCTTGGGATTTTAGAGTTAGTTTTACCATGCCTTTACCAGGCCGTGTATTCAATAAACAGTAAGCGTCTCAGAAATGAAAATAATCCTGGACTTTTATTTGGATACCTGAGCTGGAAGTCAACAACCACTTAATACACCTATGTCTTACATATTTTGTCCTTCTTGGCAGAAAAAGGAGGGAACTGAGATCTGTCTGGGGAGGGGAGCACCTGCTTGGGAAAGGATGGTTGAAGTGAATCAAACCGATTCTCTTTTTAACTATCCCTTGCCTTCAAAAGGCTTTGTGTCGCAGATCCAACCCTCAGACTCAGGAAATGTCTGTGCTTCTTGTTTGTTCTCTAGAATTTCCTGTAGAACAAGAGCCGCCAACACTGGACTTCAATGAACAGATTGAGCGCGAGGACTACGAGGATTGTACGGTGCCACTCTTGTTTACTTGTCCTACCCAAGGGTCATACTGTTTCTGGCGGAGTAACCATCTCCTGTTGTGGGTGGAGGAGTAGCAAGGGTCCATGGCTTCAGGATATCAGATTCTTTGTGATTCTTTGATTCAGCCATGATCTGATGTTGTTATATGCAATTCAGGATCTCTGAACATAGGAACCCATACTCTTAATTATTTTCTGTAGCAAAAGATTTCCTAGTCTTCCTAGCCACTAGGCTTCTTGGGTTGTGTAGAAACATCTGGTGATCTTTCCGGTGCCATAAAAGGTAATGTAAAAGATGCATGACAATTTCCATGGTCAGTGTATCTTTGAAACCACTTTTTGGTGCTCTGTGACCAGCAAATTTAATTCAAGTTTGCGGAATCCGTGACCCTAAAGTTCAACACTCTTTTGCCTGGCTTTGATGTGGAGAGCCTGTACTTAGCGTTTAGGCTCTTGGCGAAGGGGTGGAACAAATATGTTTATGCAACTGACCTTGGGTTTAATTTCCAGCATCTCCATGAGTGGAAAAGATTCATCATATCCTAGAGAGGCCCAACTGATTAGCCTTCCCCTATCTAGTGCTTTCCAGATGTGGGGATTTTCAGCTCGCAAGAATCCTAACTATATTAGCCATGGTGGCTAGGAATTTGGGAGCCGAGCATTGGTTGATACTGATGGAAGCTATGCTGAATTGGTACTGTAGGGTCTACAGATTTGCTGTTCCAGAAATCCTCCCTGCTTCTATCCCAAAGGTGCTTTTTCAAGAGGCAACTGGACTTCCTTTGTTTTTCCTTGAAGACATTTTGCTTCTCATCCAAGAAGCTTCAGTCAGAATTGAAGAAACTTCTTGGATGAGAAATGAAACATCTTCAAGGAAAAACAAAGTCAATCCAGTGGCCTCTTGAAAAAGCACCTTTTGGACAACCGTGGATGACTGAGAATCTCCATAGACATCTCCCTGCTTCTAGAGATGCTGGTTAGACCGTAGAACTAATATCTCATTGCTTGGTTAAGCGGGATCTTAGAATCTTTCTCGGTTAAGGTTAAGAAATGACTCTCTGGTGGATTCATCAGAAGTTGCCTTTTTGGGTTGGCATAGCCAGTCATTTTTATGACTGGGTCTGCCAGGCTCTACAGCTTCAACGGTTTTTGCTATGGGAGAATCTTTGGGCCCAACAGAGGTCCTGATTCTGATTGTTTTTGCAGGTTGCCTACCTATGTTTCATATATTTTGGACTTTGCTCTACATTGGTATTTCTCAACCTTAGCAACTTTAAGACATGTGGACTTCAACTCCCAGAATTCCCTAGACAGCTCCACTCGTCTTCAAGTTGCCAAGATTGAGAAACATTGCTCTATATTATCTAGAGGTAGTCCTCAACTTACGATGACAATCGGGACCCGTGTTTCCATTGCTAAGCAAGGCAGGTCTTAAGTGAGTCACGCCCAATTTTATGACTATCTTTTTGTCACCGTTAAACGAATCAGTGCAGTTGTTAAGTGAATCACACTATTGTTAAGTGAATCCAAATTCTTCCATGGACTTTGCTTGTCAGAAGTTGCCTGACAACGTTGCAAACAGCAATCAATCACATTATCCCAGGATGCCGCAACTGTCGTAAATACATGCTGGTCCCAAGCACCTGAATTTTGATCCTGTGACCATGGGGAAGTTTTAACATTCATAAGTGCAAGGATCGATCGTAAATAACTTTTTCCAATGCTGTTGTAGCTTTGAAGAGTGGCTAAATTAATGGTAATTAATGGTCAAGGACTACCTATATTCTCCTTGTTCGTCCGTGGCTCACCTCCCTGTTCTTTCTTGCTCTTTCATGTCCACCCCAGTGAGAATCTAGACTGTCTCTTATGATCATCTTCCACCAAGAGTGGCTGTGGCCCCCGTGGCACTGAATTTCTGAAAGGATAAAGGGAGCACTATGCTGCATGTTTCTGTGCCCTGCAGACACGTGCGTCGGAAATTCTCCGAGCCACGTTTCAGAAGAAAATTATTTCTCGCATTTAGGCATTCAAGAGAAAGAGAAAGAGAACATTTCAGAGCTGCAGAAGAACTATTTTAGTTCCATGCTGTGAGCTGGAAATGAAGGCGGTTCCTGGGTTGATCTCTGCCGTGAAACAGTCGGTCCATTTTGTAGACGGTGGCAGAAATGATGGACGCGTAGTAGTAATAATAATAGTCATGTTTACAATGCTGCAGTGCCTTCAATCTGGCTTAGATTTGTGCCAACATTCATAGAAGGAAGCAGTTCAGCACCACAGAAACCTTCCCTCTCCCTCTTCCTTCAGACTTACTCTTCATTTCCGCCTCATGTGATCTGGCTTTATTTTGGCCTACGTGAGTGGAAAATGCCCAGCGTTTTCTGAATAATGTTTGACAGATGAGAGAGATTTTGCCAAAACAAATGCAAAGCTACCTGGCATCGGGACCAAAACTTAAAGCTTGGCTGTCTAGGGATTTTTTTCATCCCCTTATTTTATGCCGGGCGCTGAGCTAGGAAGCCACAGGAGTTTGAATGCTTCCGGCTCTCTGTTTATGTCCTATAAAGTTAGAGAATTGCGACTTTATATATGCTCACGTCTCATTGGCACTTCCTGTGGTTTTGGCTTTTTTGTTTTGCCCCCCCCCCCTTTTGCACATTTCCCTGCCCCTCCAGGACTGTGTGGAGAAAAAAAGGGCTATTCCCTGCACTGCTGTGAAACAGGGTTACTCTAAGTCAGGGGTAGTCAACCTTGGCTCTTTTATGACTCGTGGACTTCAATTCCCAGAATTCCTGAGCCAGCTTGGCTGGCTCAGGAATTCTGGGAGTTGAAGTCCACGAGTCATAAAAGAGCCAAGGTTGACTACCCCTGCTCTAAGTGAAGAGATGCAGTTGCAAGCAGGATTTTGCTGGAGTGGTGCAGGCCTCGGAATGGATTCATAATGATCATATTTTATTTATTTTACTGCTCATTTTATTTTCTGCCCATCTCACAGTTCAGGTGACTGAACGGTTGCAATGGAAAAATCAGATCCTCTATTGCTTTGATAGCGGCATTTGCAACGGTTCTGAGACCAAGATGGCTGGTTCAGTTCTTGACTTTCCCATGTTGTGTGAGCATGACATTTGGCCTGAAATCTGTTGCAACAAGATCTCAAAAACCCTCTGGCCAATTGGGCTATCAAAAGTCGGTCTTATTGGATAGGCCTACCTTCCCCGATTTGGATTCCCTCAAGTAATGTGACCTTCGGCTCCTTGAGTTCCCAACCTCCAAGAACATCGCTGAAGGTTCTGGATGCTGAGGCCTCGGTGTCTGGAGGACTCCCAGGTTATGACATCAGTTTTGATAGGCCACTGGTTCATTTGATCCAAAGTAACAGTCCCCTTTCGCTAACTGAGAGAGCCAGTTTGGTGTAGTGGTTAAGGCACCGGGCTAGAAGTAAGAGACTGTGAGTTCAAGTCCTGCCTTAGCCATGAAAACCATCTGGGTGACTCACCAGGAGACTGTGAGTTCTAGTCCCACTTAGACATGAAAGCCAGATGGGTGACTTTGGGCTAATCACCAGGAAACAGTCAGTTTTAGTTCCACCTTAGACATGAAAGGGAACTGGCTGATCTTGGGCCAGTCCTACTCATTCAACCCAACCCATCGCACAAGGTGGTGGTTGTGGGGAAATTAGGGGAAGGAAGGTGTGTTTGGATATATTTGCCACCTTGAGTTATTTGTCAAAATAATAAAGGCCGGATACAAATAAATAAACCTTTCCATAGCTTAAAGAAGACAAAATAGAAGGTAGGCTGAAACGCACGGATGGAATCTCCTTCCTTACAATCTCCCGGTCTCCCTCTGAAGGAATCCTTTTTCTTTCTACAGACCAGTATGTCCGGCGTGAGAAAAAACCCAAAAAACCACCACAAAGGAAACCTGAGAGACCCAGGCTGGAACCAGAGGAGAAACCAAGTAGGTAGACCTTGGGCTCCCTATCATTTGATCAGAAGGTTCAAAAATAGAAGGAGGTTGAGAGACAGAGGCAGGCAAGAAGAGCCAAATTTGTTTCTCAACCCCTTGGTGAAACACAAAAAATTACTCTTCAGATCTTGGGGTTTTAAGCTAAAGCTGGGAAAGATGATTGAATCCTTGGAAAGCCACTGTTTTTACAACATCGGCAATAGATGGCCATTTTGGTGGATGGCTAGGACATATTGTTATAATGTATTATTGTTATTATTGTTGTTTCTCACTGAGGCTCGTAGTGGGCATGGTGTTGTAGAGCAGGGCTTTTCAACCAGTGGTACGGGTACCACCTGTGGTACATTGGCACCTGGCAGGTGGTACGCGACCATCCTAGAAAAGTAGCAGGGGAGGGAAATGAGCTGAATTGGTGGCAACACCGCACAAGCCTGAGCAAGAGATGGCTGGAGCTGCAGGGCTGTCAGGGCTCAGCGGAAGCGCCAGGATCAGCGCCAGGCTCCAGCTGGAACTCAGCGCTGATCCTAGTGCTTCTGCTGAGCCCAGAAGAAGCACTGATCAGCTGGAATGTTGCAGCATCTCCAGGGTCTTGTGATTTACATTCAGATGCTTGGCAATTGATTCATATTTATGACGGTCACAGTGTCCCAGGGTCATGTGAAGTGACCAAAACCTGCTGCAACCACCCAGCAGATGTGGGGGAATAAAAACCAAACACCACCCCACACCACACCACCCCCGCTGCCAATCCTCAACAGAAATGCTCACAACAATGAAAACCTCAGACAGGAGGAAGAGCGCCATCGGGTGGGCAGGCAGGTGTCTTGCTCGGCTGTGCCTTGGGGGGCACATTTTTCAATGCCATTGTAACTTCGAACAGTCATTAAGTGAACTGTTGTTAGTCGAGGACTACCTGTACTTTATCACTTTTTTCCTTTTTTGGGGGGGGTCATCAAGTTTTTGACCCCTTACTAGGCGACTGGTGGTACTCGGATGTTGCCATATCCTAAAAGCGGTACAATGGGTGAAAAGGTTGAAAAGCCCTGTTATAGGGCAATGTTTCTCAACCTTGACAACTGTAAGTTGTGTGGATTCAATTCTCTTCAGTTCTGGGAACTGAAGTCCATACATCTCAAAGTTGCCAAGGTTGAGAAAACGCCATTATAAGGGATATTTAGCCTATTTCTTTCTACTTCCTTTAGGAGAATTTCCCCCTCCCAATATAGCTACATATATTGAAAGTTCATGAGACTTAAACACTTAGGAATTTAGTTTCACGCACAAATGGGAAGCGATGACCTTAGAAGGCTGTCAATTGTTTTCGGAGAGAGAAAAAAAATTATCCTTGTAATTAGTAGAGAACCAGGTTGGTGTAGTGATTAAGGCAGCAGGCTAGAAACTGGGAGACGAAAAGTTCTAATCCTGCTTTAGACACAAAGCCAGCTGGGTGACTTTGGGCCAGGTACTCTCTCTCACCCCTGGAAAGGAGACAATAGCAAACCACTTCTGAAATCTTGCCAAGAAAATTGCAGTGACTTGTCCACACAGCTGCCAAGGGTCAACACCGACTCAAAGGTGTGCAGGCATGCATGTACTTTCACATTGCTCAGCCTTGTGCAGCTAATCTTAGCTGGATGGCCTCTTCCCAATCAACTTCTCGTAATGAGCCAGAGGGAATGTTCACCCACTTCATCCTGCTATGAGTTAACAGGAGAGGCAGAAGATACTTCGTAGTCCCCAGTTTTGTGTCTGCCAGTCATATGCCTCTGTGCTTCTAAACACTTAATCTTGGAACAATTAGTAGCAGAAAAAGAGCCACAAGCACGGTCTGTTTAGGAATGCCTTCTTCCAAAGGATCTTCAACCAAGGAGTTATTGCCTCTTTGGAATCCAACTGCTGTTTCTGTTTTGCTCAGCAGAGAAGGTGGAGCAGCCTCCCACCCCTCCTTTGGAGAGTCACTATGATGGAGGGTTACAACTGCCAGATTATGAAGACGGTATGTGCTATTTCATGCCTTTTATGGAAGAGTCATAAAAGAAGAATAATCTGATTAATCTGTGTCTCCTTCACATAGGATCTTCTTTTGCAATCTCTCTAATGTTTGTTCCTGAGAGATCACTGGAGTTCAGAATCAGAATCAGAATAGAGCTGGAAGGGACCTTGGAGGTCTTCTAGTCCAGCCCCCTGCTCAAGCAGGAGATCCTATACCATTTCAGACAAGTGGCTGCCCAGTCTCTTTTTTAAAAACTTCCAGCATTGAAGCACCTACAATATCTGAAGGCAAGCTGTTCCACTGGTTAATTGTCCTCGCTGTTAGGAACTTTCTCCTTAATTGTAGGTTGCTTCTCTCCTTGATTAGTTTCCAACCATCGTTTCTTGTCCTGCCCTCTGGTGCTTTGGAGAATAATTTGACGTCCTCTTCTTTGTGGTAGCACCTATTGGTGCTTGATTGTTGTGTGGGGCTGCAACTTCCTTCTTTCCAGCTATCTTGGCCATGAGCCACATCCAGGAAGAATGACATAGGTGAAACAATGCAGAGACATTTCTCAGTTGATTGGGTCCTGTTGTTGCTTTAATATGTACACCAGTAAACTTCCCAACACAGCAAATGTATAGTGGACCTTTGTCAGAAGAGATAAATCTGAAGGGTCAATTTGGTCTTCAAGAAACACATATCCATTTTGGTCTTCTTGATCCTCCAGTTGGAAAGGGTTAGGGCCCCAGGAATTTTCTTGAATGTACACTTCTTTGTTTATTATGAAACTAATAATATGGAACAGCCAAGCGATTGCAAGACAGACTGTTATGCTATTACTTCCCCTGCTGGCAAAAAATTCCCTTTAACTGATTTTGCTGGGACTGTGGGGTGGAAGAAGTCAATATTCTTCACCTTCTCCATATTCTGAAGATCAGTTAGGTGACTACACTATATGTTTTAAACTTCTTTATTCATGCTGGGATGTGCTAGCTTGGTCGTGAAATAAAACTGATGGCTTTGAGAAAGGCCTGGGTGACTTAACCTTTTAGGATTTAGAGAAAAGTTAAATTAATGATTGTATAGTGGAATATTTATTTGCTCCATTTTTTTTCTGCCTTCTCAGAAATACGCAACAGTATACATAAGTTTCTGAAGTGGCCAAGTCCACATGTAATTGCTGCACCATGATTTTTACATCAGCATTATCCAAAGAAATAGTGTACAAATATGTTGAAACTTCTCATTCCAGAATTTCCTATGTTGACTAGGAGTTCTGGAAAGTGATATGTCCATATTTTTGGAGAACATCTAGTCTATGGAGGCTTCTTTGAATTATGCTGGTGAAATATATATGTTGAAAAAAAACTCTATGAATATATCTGTTATGAAATTGTAATAGCAAAGAGAGAAGCAACCTAGAGCTCAGGAGAAACTTCCTGACAGTTAGAACAATTAACCAGTGGAACAACTTGCCTCCAGAAGTTGTGACTGCTCCAGCACTGGAAGTTTTTAAGAAGAGAGTGGACAGCCATTTGTCTGAAATGGTATAGGGTTTCCTGCCTGAGCAGGGGGTTGGACTAGATGACCTCCAAGGTCACTTCCAACTCTATTATTATCATTATCATTATCATTATCATTATTATTATTATTCAGTTTGAAAAGATGGTGAAACTGTGAAGAACCTGTATGCTCCTTTAACTGTGTTTCCGATCTCATTTTCCCCTGTAGTGGATTATGGTCTGCCTCCGCAGGAGCCCAAAAGATTCCCCAGCGAAACAGATGAAGGTGAGATTGAGACAGATGAGGAGAAATTCAAACCAAGTGAGGACATGGAAACTGGGTTGGCCTGAGCCTGCAGGAAGGGGCTTGTTGTTAGGAGGGAATGCGAATTGGATGGACTGGTTGACCTCACAATGCCAAGTTGAGTTCCCAACCTACCCAATTTCAAGCAAGTAAGGGAATCAACATTGGCATTCTTGTGTCTCTGCCCCAATAACATCGTCCATCAATTAGCCCAGCGGCATGATCATCACTTCTCCATCAACTGTAAGCCACCATTTTGGCTTTGCGGTTCTTTCAGAGTGCTTTACAGTCTCATCGCTTATCTTCCTTATTTGGACATTTGCCCCAACAAACAAGAGCTTGAGAAAGACTGAGTCTGCACTGTTGGGAATCTCAATGCCTGATGTTAACGCTTTTTCTCTTTGCTCTGGATCAGAGAAGCCTAAGAAAGGAGGAGGCAGTAGCAAGGAGGAAGAGGAGGGTGAGACAGAGGAGAGCAAATGGACAGAGGAGAAAGGCAAGGACAAAGGTGGGTAAGCTCCATCAAGAAGAGAGAAGCAGTTTCTTGAGCTTGTAATTGAAAGAGTATTTGCTTTGGTGTTATATTCAGGCAGAGTAATTGGGGCTTAGACTCTGCCAAGAAAGCTCCCATGAGTAAACTTAGGATCATGGACTTCAAAAGATCGGAGAAAGATACCTCTAACATCTATCGATCCAGTGCCTCCCCTTCAGTTTCTCAATTACTGTCCTTTATCTTCTTGGTTGCTTTCTTTCCTGCTTGAATAACTTCTCCTTTGCCTCTTCCTCACATGCAGGGAAGCCAAAGAAAACAGGAGGGAAAAAATGGGAAACCGATGAAAATGTGTGGACTCCAGAAGAGAAAATCAGTAAGTGTAAAGGAGTGCAGAGGTCACGCTGACAAAGGAATGCAAGAGTCGGTAGAAGAACCGTTAAAATAAATGAGAAATGGCATCTCAGTCTTGGGAAAGAAGGAAGTGTGAGAAAGAGACTCAAAGTAACCCCACCTTGATTCTCTTTGGTAAAAGAGGGGGCAAAAACTCTGGTTGAAATAAGAGCTACCTATATATAGGAGTAAAAGATGCATCAATGCAATTGTATGTATCTACTTGTGAAATCCTGGCCATTCTGTATTTCGCCATTTGAAGGCCTTTGCTTGACTATATGACTGTTCAGAAGTGATGCTTTGAGCGTTTCTTTGGGCAACTGAGGCAGCAGCAGCCGCGGCTTATCAAAGGGCCTGCAAGTGTGACCTGCCCATGTCTTTGGATTTTCAGAATGCCCTCCCATTGGGTTGGAATCCCATCGAATTGAGGATGACCAGATCTTGTCTTCTTCCATGCTACGGCATGGTTTAGGAGCTCAGCGTGGACGTCTGAACATGCAGGTATTTCCTGGAATTGCTATCTCTCTGTCTCTGAAATAATATTCATATATCAATTAAAAGCCTGGATAGTGGACATTGCAATCCCTGGAGAAAGCAGAAGAGAAGAGAAAGAATGGAGATAGATCACCAAATAGAAGTAGAATAGAAGTAGAATACCTGTGGCAGAAGAAAGTAAAGATAGTATCAGTAGTAATATAGATACCTTGGTCACAATCCCAAAACAACTAGAGCACCACTTGAACGCCATCAGCATTGACAAAATCACCACTAGTCAATTGCAACACGTAGTTTTACTAGGAACAGCTTACATCCTTCAATGATACTATTAAATATCATTAAACAACAATATCTGCCTACGTTAGAACCTTGGGAAGGGGTCAATAGGTGGACAAAATGCCAAATCTAGTCTAAACATCTAGCTGACTAGGTGACCATCCATAATTTAAATTTATTTGCTGCATGGGTGTTATGAATTACCCACTTCCTACATCTTTTTCCAGAAAGTTGAGCTTTAAATCAGTTCAATGCTGATTTAAAGATGTGCTTCTGTGCTTTCCTTGTTATGTTTCTCCACTCCAGGCTGGATCCAATGAGAATGATTACTTTGATGGCGCATGGTGCGCAGAGGATGAAAGTAGCATACAGTGGATCCAGGTGGACACAAGACGAATTACCAAGTTCACAGGAGTCATCATCCAAGGCCGGGATTCTCTCCTCCAGTATGTGAGGGTTCGGGCAAGTGTGCTGTATGTGTGGGGTCTTGTAGGATCAGTTGCCTGGGTGAACTAAATTCATGTGGATGGGAAAAATGGACAACACTACAGTGCTTGCTCAACATTGGATCTCTGCATGCTTCTCTACAATTCTGCAATTAAAGAAGAAAATGAATTTTATATGATGGGTATTTTATTGTATAATCATTGCTACAATGAGCAGATAGGATTGGGGCATTCCAGTTCCTGATTAGTGGAAGTTTTCTGGACTATCTTATGGCTTTTGAGTCCTCACCAAGCATCACTCCCATTATTCAGGTTCTCTTCATCAAGACTAGAATTCTGGTTTTCTTAAAAGGGGGAGCGATAAGAACACCGATGATGCCTCCAGTCGGCCTCCTAGCTCCCACCAATCAGCCTTCTCTTTCTCTTTTATCTATCCTAGGGAGGACTTTGTCACCACTTTCTACGTTGGCTTCAGCAATGATAGCCAGAACTGGCTCATGTACAGTAATGGTTACGAAGAAATGGTATGTACTTGACCTTGGAAAACCCTACTGGTCCCTGATGTGAAGTGATTTATCTTTTAACAATGTTCTTTTATTCACGCCTGGCCTGAGCTGACAGGATCCAGATGGGCTGAAACAGCAATTCCCAAAATTGGCAGTGACTCTGCTGGCTGGGAATTATGGAGGTTGTAATCCCAACACAGCTGAAGGAGGCCAAGTAGAAAAAGTATTGAAAACTTTGTCTTGATTAGCAAGGACCCGTCTTGTGTTGTTGAATTCAAGAGGCTTCATAGGTCTGAGGGCCATAGTCACTCTCCAACTCGGTTGTTCCTTCATTTGCAAATTGGTCTGTCGATTTCGAGATTAATTTCCAGAGGGACCGCAGAGAAAAGGATCAGATGTGGTGGTACAAACCCGTAGGACAGTCAAAACAGTGAAAAAGAATTGTTCAGAGGAACACCAAATGATATGACAAGTGTGGCGAAGTAAAACAAAAACAACCAAAACCTTATTTTAATGGACACATGCCCAAAGGATATAAGTCAGGGGTCCTCAAACTTGGCCACTTTAAGACTTGTGGACTTCAACTATATTGGCTGGGGAATTCTGGGAGTTGAAGTCCACAAGTCTTAAAGTGGCCAAGTCTTAAAGAGGACCCCTGATATAAGTACTATAAGTGCTAACAAGTACATTAGAAAGATCTTGAAGAAAACAAAAAGGAGTCTCTTTAGGATACAGTTAGATAGTAGCTGGATGTTCTTGACTGTCTGAAAAACTCCCCCCCCCTTTTCTAACTCCCTTTCTCCTTTTCCCCTTTTCTAGCTTTTTTATGGAAATGTTGACAAGGACACTCCTGTGATGAGCGAATTCCAAGAACCGAAGGTGGCTCGTTATATCCGGGTCTTTCCACTGACCTGGAACGGTAGCCTCTGTATGAGACTGGAGGTTCTGGGCTGTCCCCTCTCCAGTAAGTATGGGAGAAACGGTGGTCTTTAGAATGGGGCAGAGCATCGACCGGTTTAAAACTATACCTGAGTAGGTGCAAAAGTTACCATAATACAGTACAGGCAGTCCTCAACTTATGACCACAGCTGGGACAGAATTTCCATTGCTAAGCAAAGGGGTGGTTAAGTGATTTTTGCCTTATTTTACAATCTTTTTTTGCACTGCTGTTGTTAAATGAATGACATAGTCATGAAGCAAATCCAGCTCCCACTATTGATTTTGCTTGTGGGAAGCCAGCTGGGGAGACCGCAAATGGCAATCACGTGGCCCTGGGACCTTGTAGTAATCAGGAATACATTTGTTGTCAAGCGCCTTAATTTTGACCACATGACTGTGGTGTCAGGGCCCACTTCAAAACCTCATCCCAAGAAAGTAGAACTCATGGAAGCGGTTTCTTCCAAAAGGATCTTTTATTAGGAGAAGTTGATAGCAGGCATACTAGACAGGATCTGAGGATTTCCCGCTTAGATCGATAGGTAAAAATGTCCCAAGCAAAACCCCACCCCATAGTTCATCCAGTCAGTTGAAATGCCCAATCCCCAGGTGTTAGGTTCCCCGTAGGAACAGGGAGATAACATCGGCCAGTCTCCAGTTGTAGTTGCGATGTTTAGGCGGCTCTCCCAAAGCAGTCGCAGGAGGTTGCATTCCATTCTTCCCCTCCCTTTGCTAGCTGACAGTAAGGGATGAGAAAGTTCACAAGAAATATTGCAGGAAAGCAAAATGTTACATTTTAGCAATAGAGGAAGTCAAGGCAATAACCCTCAAGCACTCCCCCCTCCCCGCTAGGAGTATGGCAGAACCCAGGATGAGAAGAGAGTGAGATTCGGGTCAGGATGAAGGAGGAAGAAATAGTAGAAGCGGGAGGGGGGAAGGAAAGGAATTGGGAGTCTATTGATATGGGTTCTGACACATGGGGATGTTGTGACAGTTGTAAGTGTGAGGACCGGCTATAAATCACTTCGTTTGCCCTCATAACTTCAAATGATTGCTACACAAATGGTTGTATGTTGAGAACTACCTGAACATTCAAATTCATCTCAGTGCTTAGTGTTGCTTGTAGAAGATCCATGTCCAGTTCAAAAGGAGCGTTTTGAAAAAAGATACTTTTTTTTCAAAAGGTGATGGGGAAAACCAAACTCTTAAGGGTCTGCTGCTAGCAAAACTGGTAGTATTGGGCTAAGTAGAACTAAAATTCTGACCGGGTAATAAACAGCTATTGATTTGGTATTAAAGAGAGACAATTTGTATTAAAATTCCTGCCGTGTTTGATCTGCTCTTCTCTTCTTTTTGCAGGCATCCACAGCTACTACAGTTTGCAAAATGAAGTGATGACATCAGTGGACAACCTGGACTTTCGCCATCACAACTACAAGGACATGAGACAGGTGACTATAGGCATGTTGGAGAAGATCTTTACTCTTCAAGAAATGATGCTTTGAAGACCTTTAGGCAGGTTAGAGGTAGAGAATAGCAGGCAATATATCCACTTGAATTTTGATTTCAACTTGAATACAACAATGTCTGAGATCCTCAGATGGGTTGTATGTCCTATGAATTACCCTTGGAAATTGTTCAGCATATCTGTAGGATGTTAATCCCTCAAAAGATTCCATGAAGCCACTCCTATTGTAACCCCACCTTTATTTTCAATTTTCTAGCTAGGAGTAATAGCAAATAGCACTTAGACTTCACAGTGTTTTACAGCTCTCTCTAAATGGTCTACAGAGTCAGCATTCTGCCTCCAACAATCTGGGTCCTCATTTTACCAACCTCAGAAGGATGGAAGGCTAAGTCAACCTTGAGGCGGTCAGGATCAAACTCCTAGCAGTAAGCAGAGTTAGCCTGCAATACTGCATTCTAACCACTGCGCCACCACAGCTCTTACCATTGTTTTCCTTCCCTGCAGCTTATGAAGGTGGTGAATGAAGAATGTCCCACAATCACCCGTATCTACAATATTGGCAAAAGCTTTCGAGGACTTAAGATCTACGCTATGGAGATATCGGATAATCCAGGGGAGCATGAACTGGGTAAGAATCCCTCCGCCTTCCACAGGCCAGGCCCAAAGGACTCATACATCCCAACATATTATGCAGGTTGGATCGCAGTTCTTTTCATCTTAGTTCAAGAGAAGAGCCTGTGCGTACACCCAGAGACACAATAGACTTATACACTTGCACACGGCTACGTACATATTTTACTTATTATTTTTTTTTTTATTTTTTTTTTTCAATATAGAATTTTATTGTTTTTATCATAAAAGAAGAAATACATCACAAGTATTACACAATGATTTATCCCATCCCCCCACCCCCCGGACTTCCCAAACCAAACCTAGGCTAACATTCAACTACAAGTAAACAAATATTAATATCTCTAACTCCAAACTCTAAACTTAAACAATCCATCTCCTCCGTG